GGGGCTGGGGGAGCGGGCAGGGGTTGGGGGGCTGGCAGGGGTCCCACCATGTTCCCCTCCCCACTGCCCCTAGTACTTACCAACTCAGAGTCAGCTGCAGCTCCCTGCTGCAGCCACCAGGGACTGTCTGAATCATAAAAGTTCTCTGAATCTTTGCTGAAGATTCGGAGAGCTTTGAATCGATTCGGACCTTTTAATTGGTCCCCTGATTCGACTCGTATTCAGAGATTCGGCCACCAAATCGGGCCAAGTCCCCTCCGAATTGAATCACCACCCAAAGCTTTACACAGCCCTAGTGCCTACTATGTTCAAATTCTGTTGGTGGGTTTTAGAAGATTGGCTGCCCTGAAACCTGATGACCAAAAGTATTTTTTTAATCTGCCTTAAGCCCAATGACCTTTGGTCTTTCTTTTCTAGTGTGACCATTCTGCCAGCTTTTCTCCATTTAATTCTGGTTTACGGTGCTCTACTCTACTTGAGACTATCCTTCAAGGCCACTTGGAACTTTAACAGGTGCAGAATATGGTAGCACAGAATTCATGTTGCTGATAGACTCCATTTTACATTTTTTTCTCTGTAAGCTACACTGGCTCCCTCTTTGTTTTGAAAGCAAAAAGATGTTGGTTTTAGCCCATAATATTCTTAAGTGTTCCAGATTTCCCTCTGTGCACCAATATGGTAGCTCAAGAATTCAGTGAAGATGCTCCTGAAAGTTTTAAATCTAAACTTGGTGGCACTTTAGTACAGGGTTTTAAGTTGTCTTGAAAATTTGGAGGAGTGGGAGGAGGAGGACAGCCTCTTTGGTAAAACCCTGGACTAACACTTGGGAAATCTGAGCTAATTTCCCAGTTCTACCATGGACTTCCTATGTAAGTGATCTGACCATTATAATTCCCTGGACCTCAAGATAGTGTTCATCTATAAACACTCTGGAGCGGAAATGATACAATATTATAGCACCTAACATGGTTAAGTTCTGATCTGGTTAGGGACCTCTGATCACCATTGTAATACAGATAATAAACCATCCCTCATCTGGACCAACAGAGCCTGGATCTACTCTGCTCTGACCTTCAGGGCTCTGTACAAGGCCCATCTGTTTGCTTGTGTCTTTGCCTGAGGGGAGCTGACTAGAAGAGCATCTCTCTCATTGAAGCATTAGTTCTGCTGGTATGAGATTGTCTAATTGCTGGCTCTTGCCATCAAACTGATGAGGTGTTTAAGTTGTGAATCTGCCCTAAAGCACTAAGATGAGTATATGATTTTACAAATATTCCCCCTTCCCTTAAAATGCTTAGGCACCCAGTGCAGTGTAAACATATTCCGTTTCAAAAGGGTACAGTACTAGCTCAGGTTTGGAAAAGCCATTCATCTTCATGAGCTACAAGATCATATCTTAAAATACCTCTAAAGAGCAAAGACCAGTGCCCTAGCTATAGTTCAGCTGCTCTCCTGCATGTGCTGTTTGTATACAATAGTAATGATAAAAACAGGCTGCCACTCAAAATGCTGATCAACATAAAACCATTTGAAATTAAAGGCTGAGGTTTGTGGAGTGTTGCAATAAATGTTTATGGCAACCCTCTATGTATCATCATCTGTTGATTTCGACGCTATGGAAATATGCAGTCAAAATAATAGGATTTATCAGAGGTTGTTATGAACGGTCCTTGACGGATGACTCTGGAAGCTAAACAATATGCAGTCTATAGTACAAGGCCATTTAAAAAAAAAAAAAAGTAATTTGCTGCCATTATTAACTATAATAGCAAAATTTGAGTCAATATAACCCTTCTAAGATAAAATTGCAGCCTAACAAGAAGTACAATTCAGGGATGATGCATTATAAAATCCTCTAGGATCAAAAAATATTGCTGACACCAAATGCAAAGTGTGTAATTTGCTGAAAAGTTGACATCATTTATGGTTTGTCTTGATGTATTTTTCATTTGTTTGATCTTCTCTAAATTTTTATCTCTGGTCTTCACACAGAAAAGCAAATCTAGGAACTTCTCAGGCTGTTTTGCTGCAGTGAGGTAACTAAACTTCATTAATAATGATAATGATCTTATGCTTATAAACCTAGAAGCATTTATAAATCATTTAATCCACCACTGAAGTGTATACATCTTTGTGGGGGGAGAATAAAATACAGCTAGCAGTATTGTGCTAGCAGTAAACTGCAACCCCACAAAAAGGTTTAGGATAGAAAACAAGAATCTTATTATAGCCAAGTGAAATGGCAACTTAATTGTCTATTGTCTCATTGGAAACATAGGTAATACTCTTTCACTAATTGGATGGGCAGATGAGACTTTCTTGGAGGGCAATATTATGACACAGCAGCAGGAAACAGGATCAGAGGGTGGATTTTTGTACGTTGATTTGAAAATTCAAGATATATCCAGCACCTCTCTCTGAAATGATCCCTGTCAAATATTCCTTTGCAGAAGTCTTTGAATGATGTGCATACAAAATGTTGGTTGGTTCCTTAGATTAGTTAGCAGTAAAACTGGAGGGAGGCTGCAAAATACTCTGTTCTTTTCAGATTTTTAAAAACAAATTAGCTGTGGCTGTGTTTGCACCCTTTACCTTCCTTTCATTCAGGCTGCATACAGCTTCGTTTTACATTCCTTACACACGAAAAATTCAGTGAACTCAATGGGAGTTCTAACTGCACAAAAGTCTTAAAAGATGCTTAATGTTGTAATGAACTGGCTAATGTTTTCCCTCTGGATGGGATCAGTTGTGCTGAAGTTCAGAAGCACTGTCTTGCTAATAGTTAATGAGAAACTATCCTTTGGCCCAAATGATAAGGGACTGCATTGCAGTAACTGAAGTCCTGTCCCAACTTGTCATGAAATTTTCCACTGGCTGTGGCATGCATCAGAGCATCAATCTGTGAAGTATCGGGTGCTTCAAGTATTGTGCTGTCATAGAACATTTCATCCACTGGTCCTGTCTTTGTCTTCGACTCTTTGTCTTCCTTCCCTAATATTCTGAACAATCTACTCTGGAAGAAGAGAGGAATTGCTGTAAAGAGGGAGTCCTATGTTTCTTACGCTGCTTGTTTAAAAGGTTGCGGAGGGACCTGCTTTTGTTTTTGGTAACACAAAGCTGGAATGATTTAGGCTGTACGAATTGGGAGGCAGATAAGGGAAATGGTCCTGGTTTTCCCACCAGGTAGGGTGTCCTAAGGAAGAATTTTAACTTGTGCTTTCTAATCTTTTTTAATTTGAGAAGTTAACAGCAGAACTTCTAATATTGCTCCTCTGCAAAGTCTGTGTCTCGCTTCCTTCTGCTTACCTTTCTGGTCCTGAAATCAGCAAATGTCAAAGGCTAGCAGCCCTTTGCAGAAGGGTGGTGTATATAGTTGCCTCCAGTACCTCCTACAGACCCCATGGCACTCAGTAGAATGCCACAAACTGAAGAGAAATGGGAAGCTTGGAAATAAGAATTGGAGGTATAATATGCAGTGGTGGCTCGGGATCAGGATGTACTGGCAGGGATTTATAACCTGTGTTTGGTTAGCAAGTCACTGTAGTTGTAGGTTAGGAACAGGTTAGTTGTAGTTGTAGGTTAGGAACAGGAAAGGAGACTCTCTAGACAAGGCCTACAGTGGTACAGTGGGCCCTCAGCACCCATAATGCTTTGGGTTTGTCCCTATTACTGTTCTACCCTACATCCATGCCAAAGGCACTTCAGTTGTGTAGTACTGGTTTAGAGCAGGAGAGGGACAGGTTTTTATGGCATTTTCATGAGGTAGGGATTCAGCAACATTTTTGTGGCAGGGGACTTTGCCCAGGTGGTGGGGAGAAGCTGCAACAGCTTTGCCTGAGCTCCATTAAAGAGCCCCTCTCCTGCAAAATGTTGCTGATCCCTGGCCTCCCAAGCATAACTAGGGGGGAAGGGAATGGGTACCAGTCCTGGGTGCAAACTTAGAGGAGGCACCAGAATGATACCCCCTCCATTCTTTGCAGCAGCCCCACAGTACCTTATCATAGGAACTGGTGGAGGGAACATCTGGGGCAGGTCAGACCACTCTTCTTCCTGGCCCCACTTCTACCCACGCTCTCCAGCATTCGGCAGCACTCTGCATACAGGGGAGTTTTGCCCAGGCACAAAACTTATTAGTTACTAGGGCTGTGCGAAGCTTCAATGGTGATTTGATTCGAAGGAGATTCAGCCCGATTCAGTGGCCGAATCTCATGATTTTGAATCGAATCAGGGGACCAATTTAAAGGTCCAAATTGATTCAAAGATCTCCGAATCTTTGGCAAAGATTCGAAGAGCTTTGATGAGTCAGGCAGTTCCTGGTGGCTGCAGCAGGGAGTT